ATGTAATTGAAAACGAATTCCATTTTTTACTTGTAAGTAATTTTTACCAAGAAATCAGAAACCGTTATGTACCATATTTTTATTTTACTCCGCCAACAGATATTAAATTTATTATTTTGCTTACAACCCCAAATGAATCACCTTTACAACGTGTTGCGCTTTTATGTATCAGCCGTTTAATTTTAGTAACTGGGGAAAAAAGAATACTCCTGTGATATGTACTAACCTTTTTTTTGAGCCGATGGTCTTTTTCTGGTAATAAACATCCGATATAAAAGAAACATTAATCTAAAAATCTCATCATGAGTGAACGAACCCCGTTTAAATAGAAAGGAGACTCGTCATACACGTTTTCACGAACGTGTGATTATCGGCCATCATACGTTTTCGAAATTTTTCACTATTTAATTCATGACCCTGCACAACACGACAAACATTACAAATATGGAAATCATTTTACATTACCCTGACAAGAATGTGACCGTTTTTCATTCGAATCTACTACTTTTTATTCACTATATTAATGCATTGTACAATTTTAAGACTCCAAACAACTCAATCCTATAAACATGTCTACTGGTTGCAGATTTGTATCATGAATGTACAAACTTCGAAATGTATACATGACGAGAATGCCCCCACTCGTAGCTGATATTCTTATCGGGGTGGTTTTATTCGCATTTATTACACTTGATGGGATATTTTAGCGCGAAACAGACAACGTTATGTAAAATATCGAGAAATGGCTGAGCGTGGGAAAAATTAAGTACAATGTCCCCAAACCAAATCACAACTACCAAACGCATGGCATTGTTTTATTTAAAAAAAAAACAACAACATCAAAGACTATTGTATACGTTTCCAACTGAATCTTCTTGAATGGCGATAATTCGAATGTTTTTCAACGGTTTGAAGGCGTGGTTCTTAACTTATTGCGTAACTAAGAACACGATGTGAGTCTGGGTATCGTTGGTCTTGAGATGAAGAATGGTTTATCGTAATATAAAAATGTTGTTTTGGTCGCAAACATAGTTGCAGTCGTCGTTCGATGAAATACAGAAAAGTGTAATGCGCATGCGTCCTGGATTTCGCTATACGTACATGTTATTAAACTCGCGTTTTGCACATAAAGAATACTGCTACGTAAAACCGTAATGTTTTTTACTCAAGTTCAATGTTAGTTCATTACGCTTTTCTAAATGAGTTCATTCCCAAAACATCGATAATGTTCTTATTTAATTGACACCCGGTTTGTAATATATATTGCCCCCCCCCCCACGGAAAGTATTTTTTGGAGAAGAATCATATTAGCGGGAAACGAACAATGCTATACACGCTGAAAATTAGACGTGTCTATTGTTCTTTTATCTTGGTTGCACTCTGCTATCTGCACTGCATTGTTTAAGTATTAAAACCCCTAATTATGGCGGGTTCAGTTCAAAATGAATTGACACTACTAAATATTTCAACATCTAAGCACGGTTACTAAAAACCGTGATCTAAGCGAGTCTCAATTTTGCGTCATTTTGCATTCGGGACTTTTGTTGCGCGGGAAAACAGCAATGAATGCTTAAAGTCAATAAACGATGAAAAGCGCGGGATCATTACCAAGTTTACAATTGATGTTCTGTTCTATTGTATTATAGAGACGCCACCAACGGAATGCCATTGTCTATGCACATACTCATGACATCAGACAAATGATCTCAAATCACGAATCAATGAGTGAATTACAAGTTTATCTGACCTTTGAGGAAGTCTATAAACGATGAAAAGCGCGGGATCATTACCAAGTCGGACAGGAGACTCGCGTTTCGGATTTTGTTCATTTTTTCGTCCGACGTAAGTTCTCAGACATGTCTAGACTACTTATTTGAAGTCTGACAAAGCACGGTTAGTAACCGTGGACAAAGGCCAGACAAAATTGTATACACACCAAATTTGGGGTCAAAATCACCAAATGTCAACATGTTCTCCCATTAGAAGATACTGAGACGAGTCATTTCGTTTTGCGAAACTATAATACGATAGCATCGCATCAAGTGGTAGTTGAATTATTCGTTTTCAGTCCTAACTATCTACGAATAATTATTAATTTATACTCTACAACTGAGAATAAAATACAAGATCTTATGAAAACATCCCGAGTGGCCGCAAAAAGCTTATACACTCTTGAGGGCGCTATCACATCTGGAGCAAGTCGCTGGATCGGTAAATGAAAAAGCTTGTACGCAGCTTGTCTATATAACCCACTTCTGCTTCAATTAGTAAAGTGGCATCAATCATGCATACAAAGACAGACGCACAACTTGCGAATTTGGATATTACTAGTATTCCACGTTATTGCCATGACAACAACATAGTCTTCTTTCAATATAATATGGTACATTTACTCGCCGTATTGACCAATGGTATAGCTAAGTTATTAGCCCGAATATCCGGCTTTCCACTCAAAATGAATTACAATTCGATCTTAAGTTAATACATTTTAAAAATTTCATGTATTATTTCATGGCGTTTTTCTGGGTCGTTCGACATAAATATTTCAAATCAAATAAACTAGCGTGAAAAAAAAGATACAATGCTTTGACAACGTTCTCTTTTCATTAACACGTACTATGTATCCGTCTCAGCGGAAAACAGACAATGATATGCGCGTCGTGGGAAACATTAAACGTGTGAAGAAATATTCTTTCAAATTATTTGTTACAATACCAATTGTTTGACGTTGTTTTATTAAAAAGTTGTGAACGTGGTAGCGTGTAGTTCTAAACAAACTGACACTTCTGTGGTGGATGCCACTAACTGAATATCTTCGGAATTCATTTGTTTCTTGAATGACTACGACTTGAATAGAAAACAAATAGCAATTACTAGGGCTATTTAGTAAGTTGAGGACGTACTTCACACCTCGTTGCATATCATTAAAACGTGTCTCGACCCGATGCTAAAATTGCTGAATAATGAACGAAATCCAAGTGCATACACCCAATATAACTAGCCGTTTGAACCAGTTTTATCTAGTATTACTTGGAAATCATTCATCTCGCTAAATGTGTAAATCAGCCATGACAACGAACGAAAGTTCATCGGGAGTAAGTTACGTAGACATCCTTGTTGGTATGCGGGACACATTACGCTACACATGGAACTATAAACCCCAGGAAGAACAACGTAACTAAGAGGATTAAAAAAACCTTTGTCTTAGTTTATCTTACAGTGCTTTCGCTTTTGTTTCCACAGCATTAGTCATACTCCATGTTAGTTGCCGCCGATACGCCCGTATCAACCGCTTTGCTGGAAACGGAAAACTTGAAAAAAT